CATTCGGGCTCAGTCATACACGGGGATTGATAATCCTTCTCGGACATGTACGGGCTCGGTTATACACGGGGATTTATTGAGTTGTATGCCTGGACCCTTGCCAGTGGGGGCGGAGGAGTAATTCCCGCTATCTTTAGTAGTGGGTTTTTGTGGTGTTTTGGAAACTGTTTGCTTAAAATTTTTGGCGCAGTTTCATACACCTTCCTCTTCGAGCGAGAAACTGTTTGCTGATATTTATTTACTGCCCCGATCTGGTGATGATTTTGTACATGTTGTCCTTCCGCCCTTCATTTCCCGCTGTCTCATCATCCCTTGATCGCGATCCTTTCCGCCGTTCCCTGTCCAGCGCACACATATAAGCAGCGACCAACGCTCCGATCCCCTCACCATGTCTCTCTCCATCGACGGAACCCCTGTACTGTCTTTTGCTTTCGCCCGCATCCCGCACACATTGGTTTCCCCTGCTCTATCCTCTCGGGTCCCTCCACGTCGGGATTCTGTGTACTTGTTTACGGTGTCTGCCGGCGGCTACGGGCCCTTCTCCTTCTCCGTGAAGTGCTCCTCATCGTCCTTCTACCCTTACGATGTTGTCCTCGGTCTCGACTGGGCGGCTTATTTCCGGGACTCTCTTCTGTACACTGGCATGCGCCTTCCAGCAAGTTTTGATCCTTGGGTGTTCTTCTCATCCTGTCTGTCCTATTTCTCCTCCTAGATCTAATCTTTGTTTCTGATTCTATCTCCCTCACAGACATTCCCCCCCGTGAGCTTCATCCGTCCGTATTCACCCATCCAATTCACATTCTTCCAGCCGTCGCTCCCCCCTATTCCACTGGTTCACCGTTCACCTCCGGTTTTTATCCAGTTACTCTACCTAAATTGATGTCTAATCTTCGCACAGGTCACGAATCTCGTGTGCCCGCCGAAACTGAATCAATGGCGTCATCTTCAAGTATGATTTTCCCGCGTCTGTGCGATCTTTACTGATATCCCTCTCCTTTAGGCTCTGCTCGTCCGTCCTCTCTCTCCTTAACTGCATTCGGTATGTTCCTAATCTGTTTCTTTCCTTCGTCAACCAACCACTTTCCAGGGAATCATCATATTGAAACATCGAGCATCTTGTATTCAAGTGAGTTATCCCTATCATTGTCCAACCTACGCTCACCGACATCCTTCTTCCCAGCATTGCCGTTTGATTCGGGCGCTATTGCTGCTACACGGCCGTATTACAGTACGTTCGTCTTTTCTGTGCTATACTGGTGCTGACTCGTAAGCGCAGAATCACACGCTATTTTAAATGAAATTATAAAAACTGAAACTGAAACTGAAATTGAAACCGTTTATCGTGCCCCAAATGACATCTATCCTACCACTCTTCACTCTGTACCGCCTGTCCATTATCGGAACCCGTCTGCTCCATCTCAGTCCAATATTTCCACCTTCTCCCGCTCCCACTCCCGTCGCATCTTCTTCCCGTCCCCGCCCACCCGTTCTTTCCGAGGTCCCCCCCGCGGATCTGTTGTACACAATTCTCCTTTCACCCTCTGCGGAATCAAATGTATTCACGGCCTCCTCAAACTCCCTCCTCGAATTGCTGAAGCTCCACCATATCAGTTATGGTCTCACCATGTCTCCGTGCTCCGCACGGCACGCCATTTTATGTCATTTAATTTCTGGTGCTTGCATCGCCGATTGCGCGGAAAGCCACGTGTCCCAAAAATGCTCCTGTCAGGCTTTCGGTCTCGCCTTCGACTCGCCTCAACACATGTCATTTTCCGCGCTTAGCATACTTCTGTCCAGCTCCGAGTTGGCCCTTCCTGATTCTGCAGTCGAGCTTGTTGGTCGATCTCTGGGCTTGTCAGCTTCCATTTGCAGATCTCGGTTCCGCACCTTTGCAGAACTATCTACTCGTCGAACTGCAAATGTTTCGTCCCATTCTGACCGAAATCCCGCGTTGCCTATTTTCAACGACCTGGAGAAATTACCTCGTGGATCATTGCTGGCCCTCGCACGGGCTCACGTACTCTTCTCCAATTTTTCCTGCTTGCAGTGAGTGAAATACAGCCGAGAGCTGAGATGATGGATCGGAACGAAAAAGATGGATAGCGGGGCCTGCCGCGCAGCGGGCTACATAAATTATAGTTCGATTGGTCTAATTAGATCCCATCAAAATCGGACCTCCGGGCTGATTTCTGGTGATCACCGGCCAATATCCTCGGCTTGCCTTGCTGTTGAGATCCTGCCGTTGATGCCAGTGTAAGTCGACAACACGAAGAAGTACCACTCTCGCCCTGAGGATATGTTTGCCTAGTAAATCAGCAGGCTTTCCTCCTCGTATTAAATGTTGGAATTCACAATGCCCATCCCAATTTTGGTCAAAGGAAGGCGGCCAGTACTACTAGTACGTACCCTCTCTGACAATATTAATTTGGAGAATATAATCACACTCGCGAGCATGACGAGCGACAGCGCTGTGGTATCCCATGACGCACCAAGTCCACTCGAAATCTGCTCTGTATGCCACGAAGTAGTGGGATGCCACGAAGCGTTCCAGTGTATATGCGGAGACCCCAGTGAGTTGTTCAGCTCTTTCCGCAGTCACATAGTTAATCTACCGTCGTAGATCCTGGTTCGTGCCCTACGGTCAAGTGCCAGGAATGTAAGCTGTGGAGCCACAGCGGCTGTGTCGGCACTCACAAAGAGTTTACTTGTGAACTGTGCAGGTCTCCTCATTTCAGCCAAGTGTGAAGCGAGGTCAGGCAACCACACTTACTCTTCGCCACCGGTGCTGATTATTCCTTCATCAACCCGATCTCGTCGATTCCCTGTTGAACCCCTGCAACTGCAGAAGCGTATCGAAGTGCAAATGCCGCGTGGCAGGTTCTTCTCCGCCTTACGACGAAGTGACCGGCGCTGGGACGGGCCTCGCAGCCCTCGCGCGCGCCGCGGCGCTGTGCGTCAATGCAAAACCCCACCCGTCTCCCGCATCGCCGAGGAAGAGCCCCGTATTGAAACGCCAGAGGTCGCGCCCGGCCATTCCGAATCACCCCTCCCGCAAGCGTCCGAAACTCATCAACACCGAGCGTGAGGCCCCGGGTCCCGATCTGCCCCCCATTCAGATTCTGTACAACGGCGCCACGCCGTCGCCGTCTATCCCCTCGTTCCCGTCCATGCCTCCGATAAGCATGATCACTTTGCTCGCGGGCTCGGGCTATGCGTGCGGGCTCGAGTGCACATGTCCCAGCTGTGTGGAACAGAACCGGAAGAGCGGTGCGCTGGGAGTCGGCGCCCGCGCAGGCATCGCGCTCCCCGGGATCGAATCCGCCAGCACCTTCACCAGCATTATTGACCAGTTTCTGGCACGCGCAGCGGTGCTCCCTGCGCCGCCCAGCAATCGCAAAATGGCCGGGGGCCTCAGGATGAACCCCATGAACGTCATGCTCTACCCTACGGCGGCGAGAAAGAGCCCCCATCGCGGAATCCCGATCGGATTGGTCGAACTGCCGAAGTTGTAGGGCCGCCTGGCGCCAGGGCGCGTGTCTGAATAAAACATTGGATAGTACAACGAGTGTTGCAGGGAGGACAGGGCGGCGACGGCGCTGCGCTTCCCCAGTGCCAGGACTCTGGATCGCCCTCCTCTTCCCCCTTTCATGTCGGCTTCAATGATTCAATCGATATCTTTTGTATTCTTGGATGGTTTCCACTGAATAAGTCTTCCTACGTGTACACGCGTCCTCCTTGCGCGCCAGGGTTGTAGTCTAGGTCGGGTGCGGGGAGTCGAAGCCCGAGCTGCGGGAGCTGCAGCTTAGATGTGTTCAAACACTAATAAAGCCGCCGTGCGCCGTTCAGCACGCCCGATTCTGAGCCTCGAATCTTAGTCAGTGAAGTGTGATTCAATTTCATGCGCTTCAACTTGAAAGGCAGAAAGCAAATAGAAGAAGAATGAACACACCGAAACTCAAACGCCGCAATAGCGGAATCCTGCGCAAGCGACGTGGTGGGTTAAGACAAAGAGCGTGAGAGGTTGACGTAGTTCGGGTGCGGGGAGTCAGACCCCGGTCTGCAGCTTGCATCTTTCTGCCTGCAAGTGCAGCCGCAGAATAAGAAGCATTACACCCGCTCATCACCTTCAATGCATGCTTGAATAACTGGGTTCGCTATCCCCGGAAGTTCAAGAGATATTCTGCACAGTCAGGTCAGTGAGATTTGAGAGATCACTGTAGGGAGCCATCACCTGAAGCAGAGTGATATCGTGCGTGAGAGCCAGGTCTGTGAAAAGACGCCAAAGAAAAAACCGAAGGCGAATAGATAATTTGGGCGCGGGGAGTCGAACGCCAATCTGCGGCTTAAATTGGGTATATATACCACCTCTACCTTAAGATGAAGCTGCTGTGCGCCGTGCACCACACCCAATTCATAACTCTGAAATAAAGTTGGTGGAGTGGGCTCATTCTATGTGGTTTGAGCTTGAATGTGAAGAAATAAACAACCGCAAAATGATAGCTTAAGCCACTAGGTCGAGTGCGGGGAGTCAAACCTCGGTCCGAGGCTGACATTCACCCCCTTTCTAAATGGAGGCGCTGTGCGCCGTGCACCACACCCGATCTCTGCCCATTAAACGAGGTCAGTCAAGAAGTAATCTCGGGGAGATGAACCCGTTCCAGCCCATGGCCAATAAAGACTGGATGGTATTGACAGTTCGGGTACGGGGAGTCGAGACCCGAACCCCGGTTGGCGGCTTAAGTTTCCAACGGCTCAAATGGAGCCGCCGTGCGCCGTGCACCACACTCGATGTCTATCCTCAATGCAGGCCGGGATATGTGGGTTCAATTGTGTGTGGTCGAAGTGCTTACAGTAAAACCAGAAAGAAAGACAGAGAAAGACCTACATCAGGTACGGGGAGTCGAAACCCGTCCTGCGGCATTCAAAAAAATTCTTTAGTTGAGTGGGATAAATTTCGTCTTGAAAATGAAGAACACCAAAAATGTGGCTGAACCCCCCAGGTCGGGTGCGGGGAGTCGAACCCAGGGCTGCGGCTTACATTTCTCCTCTCTACTACTATAAATGAAGCCGCCGTGCGCCGTGCACTACACCCGACAGTCATCTTCGATACCAGCTAGAATAACTGGGTTCAATTTCCTGGGAAGTTCAACAGAGGCCAATAAGATTCGAGGGATCAACGATATCGATCAACCCACGCCGCGATTTTGCAGGGCTCGCCTACGGCGAACCAACGGATTTCGTCTGAATCAATTGGCCATAATGTACAGGGAAAATAAAAACCAGCGCTATGCTGACGGTCGGGCGCAGGGAGTTGAACCCCGCTCTGCGGCCTAAGTATCGTTCAGTTCCCTCCTAAATGAAACCGCTGTACACCGTGAACCACACCCAATAATTAGCTTCAGCTCAAGCCAGAACAACTATGCTCGCTTTCCTGTCCTCGGAAGATCAACAGATGTCCTGGGGAGATCATGGCTTTTCAGAGATCATTGCTGGGGGAGGGACGCACCTGTCGAATCCAAAGGAGTGGCAGGGTGAGCCTCAGAGGAAGAATAAAAAGACGCTCAATGATAAATCATTCGGGCGCGGGGAGTCGAACCCCGACCTGCGGCTCTTTGCACACTGCTCTGGCACAAATGAAGCCGCCGTGCACCGTGCACCACACCCCATTCCTAGCGCTGGATCCCAGCGTGTTGAGTAAGCTCGAAATGAACGGACCCTCCCGCCAGGGCCGAGAAACACCAGTGGCGGTCGAGACGAAGCCATTATTTGCACATATTACTTCCTCCCGCCATCGCCTCCCGCCCGGCCCGGCCACATCACGAAAAGCGGGAGAATATTGCATACGTTTGCATAGCCTTACAAAGCCGACAATCCGCATAAATCACTACAAAGTGCCACCAGCTTGGTCAGAGCTCACCAAGGCTTATGATCGACTAATTTTCTGGCAATGCTCACCAAGCTGGTGGGGTTTACAAGGCTTTGTATTGCTAGGTATGGATGTGCAATGAAATGTGGTTTCTGGTACTTCTTCTCAATTTACAAAAACACGGCAAAGATATTTAAAAGATAGGATACAAAATCATATTGCACGCTACTAAGATACAGAAGAGGAGCTTGGGAGGATAAACGGCTCACCCCACTCGCGTCCTCGTCCCGGGTAAGAAACAGAGCGGCGCGCACGATCCGGATGGGCGTGGACTTGACGCAGTTGTCGGGTAGTTTTTACCACCAAAGTATTGGCGAGGCACTTGAGGGCGGGGTTCCTAGCATGTATGTGGGGGCTTGATCCGGATCCGAGTCGCAAGGAGCTTGAAGTTTTCGGGCAGACGGTGCGTAGCTTGAAGCTCCACTTCGGAATGAGGGGAGTCTTGGGATCTGGGCTTGATGAACTTGGGGAAGGCGGAGCTTGAGGGTGTCTTCCACGAGGTTGGTGAGCACTTGATTTGTGACCTGTCTTGATGTTGCTGCCGCGCTCGCGGCACGACTTGAGGAGCGACGTGGAGATGTCTTGAAGGGGGGCCTAGGGGGTTCTCTTGTTGCAGGGCAGCTTGTCTTTGTGGTATTTCGTGGCCAGGAGAGAGAACAGAGGAGATTTGCATTCGCGTTGAGAGGGGAACGACCAGAGGACATGGGGGAAAGAGGAAGAAAAGATGTGCGCATGAGAAACATGCACGTGATCATACACACGAGGACAAACAATGCGCACGGACCTTTTGATCTCCCTATTCGCGACAAAACATATGAACTGCACTCAAACTGTACTAGCATATATCCTTGTTCTCAGTCTAAAATAAAGCTCAAGGATAAGTGACCTGGCATGCGAGTTGACGCGCCCGAGGAGGGGCGAGAGCGGCATGGACAGCAGTCACAGCACTTCTAGTGCCTGTACGGTCTCGGCGTGGCAGGAATTGAAGCCTCCAGAAGACAATGATAACTTATACATAATGGTGGAAATTTAAACTACTCATGTACAGACATTTTGAACCAGGATTATGCAGTACAACTTGAAAATTACCAAGTCCAGCACTGTAGGCCAGAAATGCCACCAAGTTGATACAACATTGTAAAGCATTGTAGTGCCTGGCCAAAATCATACCATTGTTTGCAGCATTTGTAAAGCTTTGTATAGCTTGGTGAACTTTCCCAAAGGCTTGTAAACCATCACCCGCTTGATGGGATCTGGCCCAGGAATAACACATTCTCCCGCTTTTGGTGATGCACGGCATCCATTGCGTCCTACACGCCTGTAGGGATCGTCACCGTCCGTCCCGGTGAAACGGTGCAGTGGCGTGCAGCCGTGCAATCTAATGCTAAATGAGTAAGACCTCAGTCTTAACTCAACCCAACACCAAACTCCAACAACTAACAACAACCAACTCCTGCTTTATCGTATTTATGTTCGAGGGGGTAGGTCAGGTGTATCAACCGTCCATTTCAATAGTGTGACACTGGTTTACTTTGGAAAGGTCCTCAGAAGGGCTTTCAACAGGTTTAACAGCCTTTCGGCAACAGGTGTAGATATTCTACTAGTGGTGCACAAAACCGCAATTAAATTGGGATTTTGGCGAAGGACAGCACCGCTGGGTAGCTGACTGATTTTACAAGTGGCGGAGGGGCAACTCAAGACGTTCCGTACGCCAGGAGATGGTTCCGCCAAATGGTAAGGTTTTTCCTGGAGCTCAAGATAATTCCTTTGTGTGTGGCGCGACTACAGAGTAGTGGCGCAAGCCGAATGGCGTGGGTTCCGATGGCGCAGAGCAACTCAATGATGTTCCGTACGCCACCAGCTGGTTTCCGCCACACAGAGACCCAAACAGTAACAGCTTTTATGGGAGGTCGTAGTCCCGACCTCAGTGTTTTGAATCAACCACGATTGTCAATGAACAGCGCGGCTACGAATAGCTCTGCAACTGAACAAGATGGATGCCGATGGCGCAGAGCAACTCAAGGACGTTCCGTACGCTGATAGTTGGTTTCCGCCACACAGCAACCCCGATAGGAATGGACTTTGGCGTATGAACAGCGCGGCTACGAATAGCTCTGCGACTGAACAAAGTGGCGGGGGCCGAAGACGGAGGGACAACTCAGGCTTACGCCAAGGGAGTGTGTGCGTCAAACGGGATAAGGACCAGAGGCCTTATAAGCTGCTAAGAGCTAGGTGCCATTAAGGGGGGAGTTATTCACTGTCTAACTACTAATTTACATGCGGCTTTTATACTATGAGAGGGATTGATCCCAACTAACTAAGAGAATGATAAGCGGTCTTTACAAAATGATGAACTGATCTGAAGCGAGATATATCCTGGTAGTTGGGCAGACTTAGAGGTGTCTGCCCAGGTATTATTTGATGGTGTGGCCGCCAATCACCCGCAAGTTCTGTTTAAGCCACCTCTGCTTACAATCTCCTCGCGTAGACTCGGTTAGGAGCGTCCGCAGTCCTCCGCAGTCTGATTAATTGATGGGCTGACTAGTGATGGCCGGGTCGGGTCGGGTCTGGAAAGCCCGGGCTTGGGTCGGGTCTTGGCGGGCTTGGGCTTCGAGAAATCCTAAGCCCGACCCGACTTAGGGGGTCGGGCCCAGGTCGGGTCGGGCTTGGGCTTAGGCCCGGGCTCGGGGGTAGAAAAATGGTCCAAATTCTATATTTATTTAAAATATAATAAGTATGTCATCGTCATCCTCTCTTTCGTCCGGCTCGTCGTCATCTAGCAACCTGTCCCACACACCCAATTTATTGGGGTCTTCATCGTCACCGTCGCTGTCCGCCCCATCAGCGAATGCGTGCCAAGGTATTGAACATGGCGGGATATGCCGGTGTGGCAGTGTCGCTCGAAACGGACATACATATTTATGCATCGTTTATCTCTTGGTCCAATTTCGAGGGGGAAGAACCAGTTTATGTGACTATCGTACATCATTTCTTCCCCAAACCTGACGATTCACACCTCACAATGGTTGAAAGCAGAGATGCGGAAGAAGCCGGGAATCCGATCAAATTTGATAGCGCAATGGTACGGCTATTCGGCTGGGATAGGCCCAGACTCTCATGGCATGGATGACAGGGTTCCCAAACTGGGATGTCATGAGAAGATGGTCCGAGACTAGTACCGCACCTTACTTCGAAAATTGAATTCTCAAATCTCAGCCAGGCTCGAGCAAAAAGAAATAGAGTGAAGCCCGGGCCTAAGCCCGGGTCGCGGGCCTACCAAAATCTCAAGCCCGACCCTGAGCCCGACTTGAGCCCTACCTCGGGTCGGGCCTGGGTCGGGCTTGAAAGCCCGACCCAAGCCTGGGCTTGGGCTTGAAGCCCGACCCGGCCATCACTAGGGCTGACTGAGCCTTTTATTATCTCTTGGCACCCAAGTTCAGTGACCACCAGCTGCTTTTGGATGAAGTTATGTGATTGCTTTAGGGCCGGTCTATTACAGGTGGCGTAGCCTCTGCGCCAAGTTCAAGTGGCGTAGCCTCTCCGCCAAGTTCAAGTGGCGTGCTCCCACATTATATCTTTTTACAGTTCAAGTGGCGTGACTTCATTTGGCATAACTTCAGATTGGCGCAGACTTGAACATTGTCATGTGACACGACTGGTTCATTTCTCCCCTCCGCCGTTATTCCATTGACGGGCACATCTTTTGAGTTCAACTCGCAAGCCGAATATTATTATTCTGGTGGCACATGTAGCACTTTGTAGGTTCCAAATCAATAGCTTTCTTGTTATCCTTCCAATGTCCCTTGGTTGCCTCGTGCCCATATTGACATCGAGCTTACTGCACAAAAGTACAGCTTGCCGGATGAGTCCTATGGCTAGCCAGTGGGGTTGAGTCCGAGTCGCAATCTCTAGCTTTGTATGAAAGCCGCAATGGCATCCTCGGTCTCCTTGGTTTATCACTAGTTTGCAGCACTGCTAACGGCTTTTTAGTGCTCAGTTCCGGGAATGTAACTAGCACCCTGTGTGTCTTACGCCTCCCTGCCATAAGGCTGGAAACATGCAAAAGCAGTAATTTCAGGGGTGCACGGATGCACACCCTATCACCGGCGGACGGACGGTGCCGAAGACGGCCGTCCAGTGGACCGTCCGTCGACGGTACGGTAGCGGA